GCTGAGAGCTGCAGCTTTCTGCGTGCCGGGCCCGTTCTAACCGCTTTGCAGTGAGAAATCTCAGGCCACCCTTGGGTGGGGGGACTGGGGCTGCCCTGGCTTTGCACACGGGGGTGCCAGAGCCCAGAGGGTTGGGCGGTTCGCCTGAGGGCCAGGGCTGGTGTCTGAGCCAGCAGGCCCATGTCTGTACCAACAGCCGTGTTTGCTCACAGCTCCAGTGGGCTCCCTGGTGCCGGAGAAGCTGAGAGTCACGGCTCAGCGCAGCCCTGGGCACTCACGGGCTCCATGGAGAGACGGCTGGGATGTGTGCTGGCCACTTCACCCACACGTCTGCTCTGGAGCAGAGGCGGCCCCTCAGGGGCTCCCTGAGTGTGTCTCCCCCCTCAGACTGGGGCTCCCTGAGTGTGTCTCCCCCCTCAGACTGGGGCTCCCTGAGTGTGTCTCCCCCCTCAGACTGGGGCTCCCTGAGTGTGTCTCCCCCCTCAGGGGCTCCCTGAGTGTGCCTCCCCCCTCAGACTGGGGCTCCCTGAGTGTGTCTCCCCCCTCAGACTGGGGCTCCCTGAGTGTGCCTCCCCCCTCAGACTGGGGCTCTCTGAGTGTGTCTCTCCCCTCAGACTGGGGCTCCCTGGGGATGGGGCTGTGCTTCCCCCCTCAGACTGAGGCTCCCTGGGGACAGGGCTGTGTCTCCCCCCAGACCAGGGCTCCCTGGGCATGGAGCTCTGTCTCCCCTCTCAGACTGGGGCTCCCTGGGGACAGGGCTATGTCTCCTCCCTCAGACTGGGGCTCCCTAGCGACGGGGCTGTGCCTCCCCCCGACCAGGGTTCCCTGGGGACGGGGCCGTGTCCCCGAGTCTAGAGCACCCCAGCCTCTCCAGTGGGAGGTGTCACCCTCAGGCCCCTCTTTCGCACCGGCCAGGGGCTCACCCTGCCTCTCTGGTGCCTCTCCCGTCGCTGGCCCCAGGTGGCCTGTGGCCTCGCCGCCCAGGGACTGAGCGCGTCTGGGTGCCTCTGATTTTGGGAACAAAAGAAGCCAGGCTTCAGGCTGCTCTGTGGACAGCGACAGGGTTTCACGGTCTCTGGAGGAAAAATACATTTTGCTTGTTGGAAAAAAAATGTTCTCTTTGAGCTCCACGGAGACAGAAAGCGGAGGAAAAGCAGTTATGGGCTGGGCTGGCCAGGGCCCTCTGGCCCGGCCTCCCAGGCTGCTTCCAGCTGTGTGCCCGTGGGCACCACCCTGCTGCCCCAAGGCTGGAGGTGGCGGGGGAAGGGGCCTCAATAACCCCACGGGCTGGGGCTGATGGGAAGGATTCAACATGGGGCACTGGTGGTGGGTGTCGAGGGTGGGCTGCTTGGCCCTGGGAGGGTGGAGGCGGTTCTGGTGCCGTATTAGCCTGTGCATCCCCCCGGAGAGTGATCCCCATGGCCAGCTCCAGCCTGGTGGTGACGGCCCCAGCGGGCCAGCCTCGCCGCGACCCGGAGCTCCACACCGATCTCCGCAGCGGCCCTGAACTGCGTTTAGCCCCATTTTATGGATGGGGAAGCCGAGGCACAAGGAAGGCGGGTCACTTGTGCAGAGCTGGGATCGAGCCCAGCCTATGGGACTGCCCTTAAGCACTACTCACTGCAGCCAGAAGGTGGCGCTGTGCCGAGCATGGCCGTGCACCAGCCAGGTGGGGAGGCACAGGCTGCACCCATCCCCTGGTCACTCCTCTTGGTCTTATTTCATCTGTCCGACTTGCCAGGTGCCAGACAGGCCTGTGCCAGCGTCAGGTTCCCTGCCCGGGAGGAGCCCACAGCCTGGTGGAGAGAAAGATGCACACTCATGATTTTGCATCCCAGGGTGGGCTGAGTCCTGTCCTGGGTCACAGGGTGTCCCACTCCAGGCCAGAGGGTTTGGGGGGGCGGGCGGGGGCAGGAAAAGGGACTCGGTTGTCGGTCAGTGTCCAGGAACTTGAGGAGGGAAGGTAGGAACGTTCTGGAAGGCATGTAGGGGAAACAGGGCCTGAATTGACCTGGGGTGCTGATCACCAGGGTGACCCACACCCCAGGACTCTCTGAGAGCCGGGGAAGCCAGGCGGCGTGGTTCTGTGTCTTCCCCAGCTGCGTGCTTGCTGAGAAGCAGGTGGGACCGAGGGAAGCTGCATCTACTTTCTCTCTCTCTCTCTCTCTCTCTCTCTCTCTCACACTCTCTCTCTCTCTCTCTCTCTCACACACACACACACACACACTCACACACACATACAGCTGAAACCCAGGTATCGCTCTTTCGCACTAGCCTAGACATGACTACACCTGAGTTCCAGGCGGAGCTCTGGAGGCCAGCCTGCCTTGCTGTGATTCTGGGTGTTGCTTTCCTCGTGGGGAAGGGGTTGGGACAGGTGACCTGTGAGGCGCCTTCCAGCAGGGCCCCGCTCGTTACGGGGCTTCATTCTGGAACTCAGAGGCAATCCCAGCGTCTGCCCTAGCGGAGACGCCCGTGCCTTTGTAGCTTTCAGCGGCCCCCACCCGCCGTGTCTCGGGCCCCACGACTGTGGAGTCCTTTCTGATGTTAGGGTGATTGGTTTTTGCTGCAATCAAGGCAGACGCCCCTGTCCGCAGCCCAGCGCGCTTCCGGAGAAGGCCGGCCTAGGCAGAAGGCAGCCCCGCTCGTGGGACGGGTGCCCGGTACCCGTGGTGTCTGCCGCCTGCCTTCCAGAGCCGCCCATGTGGCATGTCATCAGGCGTTTGTCCGATGGCTTCCGAGGCACCGCTGGCGGGGAGGGCGGCGGGGAGCGGCAGAGGAGCCGTGTGGGCTGTGTGGGTCAGGGAGTTGGGGTGGCTGATCTGAGTGCAGATATGGGAGAGTACTCCAAGGCCTGGTTTCCCACACACTGGCCGGGGACCTCTCTCTCTCTCACGGGGACATCACTGAGAATGCGCTCAGGGGTGGGAGCTAGAGCGGCCCGTGAGTGTGACCTGGGCCGCCGCGGGGTGCCTGCACCTGCTGCTGCAAGTGTCTATTGGAGGCGGTCTTTGGTTCCCGCCTGGGGCGGGGGGCTAGGTGGTGGGGTTGCCTGTGAGGTCACGCTGCCCAGCAGCCTGTCATTGCTGATGGCTCCAGTGATGGTGACTCAGGGTATGGTTTCCTTCTAGACTTTTCTGTTTCTACCATTGCACGGCCCCTCCCTGCCCTTCCTGGGCCCTGGTCTGCCCCTCATCAAGGAGAAGGTGGACCAGATGACCCGCCAGGAACCCACACAGGCTGTGGTCATTGCTTTCTCCTGTGGAAAAGCCGTTGCAGGGACCCAAGAGGGTGGGGGTGTATGGAGGGGATTTGTTCTTCCCTGCGTGAGAGAAGAGGTCGAAGCAGAGACACAGCTAAAGTCAAGAATGGGAGCGGGATTTCTCGGAAGAGAGGCTGCGTACACATTCAGACAGGAGTGTGGGCAGACCCAGGAGGAGAGCAAGAGGGTGGGCTGCCCGGGAGGCCTGAGCTGCTCCCCCTTGCAGGGGCCCCTCCACTGGGTAGGGGGAGGCGCCCTCACTGGGCACGGTTTGGGCGGCGTCAGTGGCATGTCCACCTGGAGCTTGGTGTCCCGTGCTTGCCATCTTCATGCTGGATCAGACTCAGGTGCATCATGGGAAGTGGGCCTGCAGGAACTGGCGCGCCAGAGGATGGAGTCAGGGTGCAGGGCTGGAAATGCAAACCGTGGGGAACCTCTTGGCTCCGTTATCCTTACCTAGCCCACATCAGCAGGGGTGAAGGGGGAAGGGGGCCCCCTTGGGTCCTCTGGGAGGAAGGTGGGACAGGCTGGTTGGGAAGAGACTGTCGGGAAGGTAGGCAGGGAGTCAGTAGCTGTCACGCAGGCAGGCAGGCAGGCAGGCGCCCAGAAGCGGCTTGTAGGAGTTCAGGAGGCAGGAGTGGGAGGCGACACGCGATGCTGAGGTGTGCTGCTGAGCAGGTCTAGGTGCGCCCCTGGGACCCAGTCTCCTGGAGCCAGGGGAAGATGGCCTGGAGCGAGCTCAGAGCCACCCTGGGGAGTGAGGACGCCAGGTGTGTGCCCCAGCTCCTGCCCGTTTTTGACTGTGCACTCCCAATGGGAGCATGGACTTTTGGGGAGGGCAGAAGCTGGTGCGGGAGAAACCAGGGGTGTGAGCAGGACGCCGTGGGCTGAGGACCCGGCAGGCATCCTCCACTTTCAAGGCTTGTGCAAACAGCGGCCCAGAGAGGCGGAGTCACTTCTGAGCCCTGGGCATCGGATCCCCGTGCAGTGAGGGACCCCAGGCCCGAGGGGCGCAGCCTGCCTGGGCTGGCTCCCCAAGCCTCAGCTGCTGGAGTGAGGACGGGGACCCACTGTGTGTGGTGCCCATAGGGCACAGCCTGACCTGGTGCTGAGGCCCAGCTGGGAGGGGCTGCGCACCTGTCCAGAGCCCTTTCTGTCCCCAGCGTAATCTTGATATTGGGCTTTCCCGTCTGCTTATCAGGGTCAAGTGCTGGCCCTGGCCTTGACCACAGAAGGACCCTGGTGTCCCGTGGGAGGTGTAATTAATCTACCAACGAGAGGATGCAGTACACTGGCTGCGAGCAGAGCCTGGGAGAAAGCTTTGATTGCTGGATTTCCTTTTTGCAGGGGGGCGGGGGTCTTGTCTTTTTTTGTTTTTTTTGTTTGTTTGTTTTTGTTTTGTTTTGTTTTTGTCTGTTGAGAGACAATGCTAAAAGGAAGAGTCTAAAACACCAGGCATATCAGGATTTGGCCCGAGAATGAGCAGCTGTGGGATACTGGACTCCGGGCTACCCACACAGTGTGTACCACGTGGGGAGGGCCACAGACCTTGAGGGTAGGAGTGAGGCCGAAGGGCTCCAGGATCCAACCAGGGATCTGCTCGTTTTGGAGCTTAATGGAAGTCCCCAGAAAAAGCCTTTCTCTTCCTGTTGTGCCCGAGGCCAGGCCAGGGGCCGCCTGCCTCTGCCCAGCCGGTTCCTCCCCTCCAGCCTCTAATGCCTGTCTCCCCCTCTTGCAGGAGCCTCTTGGACAAAGACATGTTTTCCAAGTCTGACCCACGTAAGTCCTGCCCTGACAGTAATCCCAGCAGCGAGGGCTTGAGCCAGGCCGAGTGCTGCTGTGCCTCGCGGTTAAGGTTTCACCAGCCGGGTCTGCAGAAAGAGACGTGGGGGCATGGGCCCTCTGCAGCCCCCATTCTTGTGAAGCCCCAACACAGCAGAGCCTGTAGGGGGAGGGCAGGGTGTCTGGGGTGCCGATGGTCTCAGGCCAGGGGAGCCAGTACACCTAAGAGATCAGCTGTGGCCTGGTGGGCGCACAGACATGGCTGTCTAGGGCTCCTGCCCTGAGCAGTGTGCGGCCAGGGCCAGGCAGGCCTCTGGCTTCCTCCATGCCTCAGTTTCCCCATCAGCTCCAAGCTGGCCCCTGCGAACTAGTGCATCCAGGACCAGTTGTGGGGTTATGGTCCAAGCTTGGGGGCCAGACTCTTACACTACTCCCTAAGACCCCACCCCCTTCCCAGACCCGACAGTGCGACCCGCGCTGGAGTGTCCCAGTCACCTGCCCAGACAGGCCCTCTCTAGCCCGTCCCCAGCTTCCGGTGGGCCTGGGCTGTTAACCCGTGTTTTTCTTCTCCCTCCAGTGTGCGTCATGTATACTCAAGGGATGGAAAACAAGCAGTGGCGGGAGGTAGGTGTAGCCCCCACCCGGCCCGGAAGTGCCACCGTGTCCCTGGCTGCCTGTCCGTCTGCCCCTCCCTAACTCTGGACAGATCCTGGAGCGGCCCAAGGCAGGCTGGAGAGACGTGCAGGGGGTGGAGTCTTGTCCTGGCAGCTGCAGGAGGAGACTGAAGACGGAGTCCGCGTACTCCCACCCTCAGGGAGCCCCCGAGTGAGCGGGAGACGGCGGGGAGGCGGAGGTCCAGGCCCATCACAACCATCCTGCCTGGTTGCCTCAACACCTTGCAGGCTTCCCACCCCTGGTTGCTAGCTAACATGAGCATGGCGCAGTTAGGTAAGGCCCCTGCCCAGCAGCCTTGGGGGGCTCATGACTGCCCGGCCTGGCGCCAAGCCCCACCACCACCCTCTTGTGCAGTCTGGTCTCCCTGGCGCTACCCGACCCCGCTGCCCGTGTCCCTTGTGGTGGGGTCTGGGCCGAGAGGGCTGACTGCGTCACAGATGCTTCAGGAGGTGAATGGTGTCTCCCCCCCAGACACCACCAGTCTGTCCCCTACGCTGCAGCCAGAGGGCTCCTGTGAAACCCGAGCTGTACTCTGTCCCTCTGCTGAGAGCTGCCCAGTGGCTTCCCTCTTGTCCCCGCGATGGCCCGCCTGGCCCTGGCCCCGATCTGACTGCCTGCCCCAGGCTGGCCTTATCTCCCAGGGTTCTGTGCCATCCGCCTCCATTCCTGCCACACAGGGCCCCCTCCCCCCCACCCTGGGGCCTTGCACGTGCTGTTCCTTCTTCCCAAATGCTCTTCTCTGCCTCCCACCCCCCGGCAGCTTTCCCCGGCCACCCCATCTAATATGTCAGCCTCTCCACACTTCTTACTTCCCTTCCCGACTCCTGTGTTTGACCACCTTCCACTGTGTACTGAGCTCCGCTTACACGATGCTCTCGGTGATCACGGCCGTCTCCTTTAGTCCCTGGGCCGCGTTGAGCATCTAGAACAGCATCAGGCCACAGAAGGTGCTCAATAAACGGTTGCTAAAGGGCTGCACTAGGGAAGGGGGCGGGGCCTCCAGAGGCTGCCAAGGATGAGCTGAGTGGTCTCGTCCCCACCTCTGCCTCACTCCCCTCTCACTTAGCCCCCGGGGAGACGGTTTCCAGGTGCAGAGGGGGAAGGGGGCCCTGGGTTGGGATGGGAGGGGCTGGGCTCCTGGGGGAGCTTCCGGTGCCTCTGAGTGCAGGCTGCCTTCCTGGTGATCCGAGGAGGCACAAGCATGGGCCGAAGGGGACAAGAATGAGCGAGGCTGAGGCCGCACCCCATGCCCTTCCCCACCCACACCCAGCTCAGAGGCTTGTGGGCTCTGGACAGAGACCGTATGGGGGCTCCCTGGGGACTTGCGAGGAACCATGCAGTCTGCTCGCGTGCACCGATGACTTCTGAGGCCTTTGGCCCGGGCTGCCTAGAACCCAGGGCTGTGCTGATGCCCCGTGATTTGGTGAGGAAAGCATTCATTGCGTTCTGTGATTGAGATTTGTCTCCCATTGGCTCAGGGTCCTCAGCGGGCTGAGTTGCATCTGGGTGGCCCACGCTCTCCCAGGGCGCAGCGGAGGGGAAGAGGGTAGCTGGGGCGCTGTTGCACACACCTATGCCTCACTCCTGGCCCTGGCCCAGCCAGATGTGGGCCCTGGAGCAAGCTGCTCAACCCCTCAAGGCCTGTTCCCATATTGGTGACACGGGGACCTTGCTGGCCCGTGGTGGGCGTGAAGCAAGGAAGCGGAGGTCCTGGTGCTGGGTCCTTGCTGTGACTTGGGGAGTGCAGGGCATTGTACCCCACTGGCCTCAGCCGGTATTCCCAGCGGTAGGGTCTGTGGGGTGCCGGGCATGTACCAGGGGCTGGGGAAAAGAGGGGCAGAGCATGAGTTGGAAGTAGGGGGTCGCAGCCTGCAGGGGTGTGCGGAATCCCAACAGCAGGAGCAGGGGAGTACAGAGGGACTGAAATGACAGTTCAGGGGAGGGAATGCACAGCCAGCATGCTACATTTAAAAAATGATTTATTTATTTATTTGGAAGGCAGTGACTGAGAGATAGAATCTTCCATCCACTGGTTCACTCCCTAAATGGCCCCAACAGCCAGGGCTGGGCCAGGCCAAAGCCGGGAGCCAGGAACTCCATGCAGGTCTCCCACGTGGGTGGCAGGGGCGCAAGGACTCAGGCCATCGTCTGCTGCTTTCCCAGGCACAGAGCAGGGGACTGGGTGGGAAGCAGGACAGACGAGACCTGAACCGGAGTTCCAGAAGGGATGCCAGCATCGAAGGCGGTGGCTTAGCCCGCTGCGCCACCAAGCACATTGTGGCGGGTCCTGTGGCTTGTTAAAGCCATGTCTGAACCTAAACACAAGGCGTCTGGCTGAGGGGCGCATGCTGTGGAGCCGGAGGGGAGTGAGAAGGGATGGTAGGGGTCCTGCGGCTCAGCCTCCTGATCCACAGAGAGGAGCAGGCCTGCCTCGCTTACAGAATCAGGGTGCTGGGCTCCTGCACAGTGAGGGGTGTGCACCTGTGGAAGCCGAGGCCAGCTGGGTGTCATCGAAGCCAGGAGGCATAGCACCCGGTACCGTCACAAAACCGGTGGCATAGCAAGGGCACTGAGGGAGGCCGGGTCCCGCGTGGTTGCATGTTCAAGGAAACCAGTGAGAAGTGGTGAACTGTGGGGTGGCAGCAGTGGGGAACCATGACTGCTCCAGGCTCAGGCATGTAAGGGGGAGCTTCTAGAATCCCAAAAGGGGCTTCCAGGTAGGATCAGGAGCCCCCAGAGCAGGCAGCCTCACTCTCTTTCACTCCCCTGATCTCTGGCTGGGGCTCCCGTCGGCGGAACCTCACCAGGAGCCCTCCAGTCGGGTCAGCCGCCCGGCACAGAGCAGTGTGTAGGTGAGGGCGGCTCCCGTGTGGGAAAGGTACAGGGAGGGGCCGCCTAAGGGAGCTGCTGGGTGTCAGCGAGGACAGCGGTGAGCATCCCGAGAGGCCGAGGAGGCTGACCTCCCTTCCCAGAGATGACCAGGCCCCGGGGCCTGACTCCAGGGGTGACGGTAGCAGAGCTGAGAGCTATTTCTGGAAGATGCACTTACACAGGTCGGGAGTGGAAGGAGGGCCTGTTTCCTTGCCTGCTCCTTTGTGACCTGCATAGGAGAGTATCAGGAACGGAGAATCTATAGACGAACCCAGATCCAGCCAGCTCTTTGGAACTGCCCCTGGGAGCGCAGCCGGCCTTGCCAGTAAAAGGCAGCCAGAGCCCGCCCCTCCACCTGCTGGTCCACTGCCCCTCGGGAGCAGCCTGCCTCTTGGTTACCAGAATCCTGGCCGGGCGATAATGATCCTGTGACGGGGGTGGGGGCTGGGGGCGGTGCCGGCCCCGGCGGTTTCTGCGGGCGGGGCCCAGGCGTGGGGTTTGCAGCAGGCGGCAGGTGAGCCAGTTCCCCGATCCCAGCCAGGATGAAAGCTGCTCTCGTGGCCTCCGGCTGCCCGGTTGCAGCTGATTTTAACCGTTTGGGTCATTTCTGTGCCTTCTGAGAAAGCTTCATCTTCCCAGCACCTAAATCTGTCACCACATTTTATGAAAATTGACTCAAGATATAATTTTAGCCCAGAAAATCGAGCGCTATTTGCATCAGGGCCTGCCGGGGCTTTTGCACATCCTGGGAAAGGCGGGCTGGCCAGGCAGGAAGAGCCCCCGAGACACATTTGCTGGACAGAGGAATGCACACCGTGGGTAGACCCTCTTGGTTCCCCATTTGAAAGTCAGGGCTGGTGAACCGTGCCCCCCCGCCCCTCCCTCGCCAGCAGAGGGTCCCTTGGAAGGAGAGCATGGGAACCCTTCTTGTGGGGTGCCTGGTTGATGGCTCTGCGGCACACGTGGCCCCAGCCCCCACGCCCCCACATCCCCACGGCCCTGCTCGCTCAGCCTGTTTCTGGGCAACCTCAGCCTGTTTAACATTTTACCGCCCACCGGGAACAACGGTTCATCTCTAAACGTTCAGAATGCTCTTCCCAGGAGTACGGGATCTGAGATGCACCTGCACGTGATCTTGACCCAGCGAGCGTCTTAGTCTGCTCAGGCTGCTTTAATCGGAGTGTCTGATAAACAACAGAAATTTGTTTCTCCAGGTCTGGAACCTGGGAAGCCCAGGATCCGGGCACCAGCAGCTTTGGTGTCTGGTGAGGGCCTTGCCCCTCGCACTGCACCTGCGCATGATGGGAGGGGTGAACCATCCGCCCTGGGCCTCTTTGTAAGGGCCTCGTCCTCGTGACCTCATTACTTCCCAGAGGCCTGAAGCAGATACCCTGACCCGGGCATTGAGGGTCTTAGCATGAGTTTTGGAGGACACAGCACTCTGGTGGTAGCAGATAGCTACTGTGGGCACAGGGGGAGCGCTGGGGAGGCAGAGGGACCGGACACTGTGCACAATCACAGGAGCTGGCTTTCAGTCCAGGAGGTGACGACAGGATACGCTGATCACAACACCACTCATATAACGTTCGTGTGCAAGGTACTGTTCTGAGCGCTTGTAGTGTGCTAGCTCATTTCATCCTCACAACAACCCTATCAAGGAGGTATTTATTTACTTATTTAGAATCAGAGAGACAATCAGAGCTCCCCCATCTCCTGGTTCATTGCCTGGATGCCCCGTAGTGGCCAACGTGGGGCTAAGTTAGGCAGAAGCCAGGAGTCAGGAACTCAATCCAGGTTTCCCACGTGGATGGCAGAAACCCAGTTGGACGCACGGTGACTGCTGCCCCGCGGGGTCTGTATTAGTGGGAAGCTGGAGCCAGGAGCCAGGGACAGGTATGGAGTCCCAGTCTCCAGTACATGGGAGTCTTAACTGGTGTCTTCGCTGCCGCACCAACACCTGCGCCACGAGGCTCTTTATGTGACTGTTCCGGACCCTGAGCAGCCTGGCTCTTCCGCTGGAGCACCTGCCTTCCAAAGTGTGTGCCAGGCCGCATCCACTTCTCCAGCCCGCAGTGTCC